TCATGGCAGTCCCTCTGAATGCTGCCTTTCCAGAAGCTGCTGATGTAAAAGGCAGAGCAGCACAGGGTGGGGAAACCTCATTCTGCCTTCCAATCCAAGGGCTATTTTTTGTCTCTTGTCTATTTATGGAGTGGTTTAAACTACCAGTGACCCCAGTATTTGACTGAGACATCAACTTTTCTAGGTTTGGGGACTGGGTTTGTGCGGTAAATAGGGAGCAGGATGCCATCTTTCCCACTGTTCTGAAGGACTTTAACCTGTCTCTAGTTTTACCTCCACTGCAGCCAAATGTACAATTCTTTTTTTAGAGTGTCTTCTCTCCCAACCCCCTTGGTGACTGTGCTTCACAGGCTGAGGACTGTTTAGACCCTCTGTTCCCTAGCAGAGCTTGCTTTTAAGGAAGCAAAACAGTTTCCTGTAGCTGAAATGTTTACTGCCTCGATTCTCTCAGTTTTATTCACTCTGCTGGAGAGCTCATCATGTGGGAGCTGCAAGACCCCATCAACACTCTTCTTATTTTTACATTACAGCAGTATCTGAATTAAGGCTCTCTCTTCCCTGCCTTATATCCCAGCCATGATCTCATGAAAGGGTTCCCCTCCTCCTCTCTCACTTGCTTCATCCCAATTTCAGTTAGGGCCCTCCTAGTCAGGAATCTGAGACCAGCTGATGGTGTTGCCATGGAGCTGTTTTCTATCTCTGCCACCCTCCCCATACATCCTGGTCTGAAAACTTGACAGAGCTGCATGGCTGAGCTGGACTCATAGCTGTCTCTGAGGCAGAAGTGCCACTTTAAATTAGTGTCTAGAGGGCCTCATTGATGTAGTGGGAAGCCTGGTTGATGCAGACGGGGTGTAACCTCCACAGTACCCTGCCCTCCATAGTGTAGCAGTCTGGGGGTTTCCTCATAGCCAGGTCTTACCTGCCTCTCCCATCTGTGTAAAAAATGTGCTGTTCTCCAAGCTAATAGAAAATGAACAAGTGGCAGGATGTTTTCCAAGGAGGAAAGGCTGAGGTTTACACCCTCTCTGGTGGTTCTTCCTCTGTGTTCTTTTGCTTTCCTTCTGTGGTTTGGCATAGAGCTTGCCATCTCTTTGTTCCAGGCTTCCTGAACCAAGGGCACTTGGGGTGGCAAGACTGCATGGTTATGCAACTTTACAAGAGAGTGCAGCTAAATAAGTACCTATCCATGTGATGTTTGCTTCCCAGCTGGATGAGAAACTCTGGCCTTTGCTGATTCAGGCAAAACAGAGGCTCAAATTGCCAAATTTGAGTTCAGGTCCTAATCTCTGGGCATTAGGGTCTTGATTTCCTTAACTTCTGGAGGGCTGCTTCCCAGCTTTTAACTGTGTTAAACCAGACATACAGGTCCTCTTGGACGTGCACGTCCATGTGTCCCAGTGAATGCCCAAGCCTGGAGTGCACTGGACATGTGGATATAGAAACCATTGCTGCCACTGGCAATAATAGCCTCCTTGTTGGCCCTGCTTACTTTCTGCCCAGATATGCCTCCAGGTTGTGGTGACAGTGCTGTGGTAGGACACCATGGGGAAGTCTTCAGGGCTGCTATTGACTGTTCACCTGAACTGTCAGTATATGAAAAACTTCTGTGTAGACACCACAGCCATGGTGAAAAAAGACTGCCCTCTTTAGTTGGGGGACAGATGGAAAAAGATTTCTGTTACTGAAGCAGTACTTCTGAGCTGACAGCTGAGTGAGCTGGAACAGAGCTTGCTTACTTACTAGCAAATTGCCCATCAAGAATGATGGCGGGGATGGAGCAGGGTGTGGGGAGGGATGAGGCCAGCGCCATGCTGCCACCACTCTGTGCCACTGCTGCCTCCAAGGAGCAGGGCTGCGGCGGGGAGGCCAGCAGCGCTGGCCTCACCGCCCCCCGTCCCCTCCATCATGGTGGTACTCCATCCCTGCCGTCATTCTTGATGGGCAATTCACCCTGTGGCTGGAGCCATGCCCCGCAAGAGTGTTAGGGGCAGACAGACAGACACACAGACAGATAGAATAAGCCCTTTGTATCTATAGAATTTTTAAGTAGAAGCTTTGAGCATCCAGTATAAGATGGAGGAAAGTGGATTTGTTCATGAACATTTCCATCCCCAGGCACCAGACATGACTTCCTTGGCATGGACAGAGCAAGTGAGCTGGCACCGTTTGCCTTTCAGATGACCTTTGTTCCTTTGTTAGGTGGTTTCTTTGAAGGTTGAAAGCTAAAAGGAATGACACTGAAGTAACTTTTCCTGAGGACACGTTTGTGCTTGAGGTGCAGGTTAGAAGCAGCTGAATGAGCTCCAAGAGACTGGGTGTTTGTGCTTCTCACTCATGGATCTAGCTCTTTCAGGGAGCTGCCCACTATGCTCACTGACCCAGCCTGGTCCCAATTTTCAGCTTGCACTGTCGTATCAGGATTGGAAATGGGATAATTTTCCCTTCCTTTGCTCAGAGAGCCTGTTTGTGTGTTCAGCCTAAAAAACAATTCCCATAGGTGTATTTGTCCAGGTGATAGGAAGGAGGTGTATGGCTATTTTGACGCCTCTCCCTTGATTTAGCTCTTCTTGTGTTTTTAATTGATTCCTTCTGGCCCTTGATCCCCAAAGATTATCAGCACAAATGCCATATCTGTAGATTCACTGAGATTTGTTTCTATTAACTCACTATCCAAAGAGATGCTTCAGGTGAGCCTGTCCCTTGGAGAGAAGATACTGCTGGGAGGAGCTCAAAAAAAAAAGCACAGTATTAATAAGGAGTCCTAGTAGAACATCTGGGACTGCTGTGTGATGTAATGCACTAGTGACCATATTGGTTCACTTGGTTGCCTGAACACCTGTCTCTCATACAACAGAGCATCCTGAGTGACCGCTTCATTATACAGCTTGGAAAGGATGTTGGAATAAAAAGCAGTTCTTAAGTACTGAGGCATAAGAGTACTGATGAGATTCTCTAGTCTGCTAGGCTGCCCTTCACTGCTCTAACTTTTTCATTGCTTAACCTCAAAGGAGCAGAATAGAAAAATGTGTGCGTGCGTGTATATATAATATATATTTACACACACACACACACACGCCTCAAATTTATCACACTAATGCAGTTCAAAAACTTTTGACAATTAGTCAGTATTAAACATCTTGTGCAGGCTGGTCACCAGGGGGGAAAATACCTTGGTGTCTTGGAACACCTCAGTGGAGAATATATTTGCTGGAGGCTGGTGAGGGGCTTAGTTCAATTCTCTCTCTTCCATAATAAGGTGGAAAGAGAGAACATTTTGATTTCACTTCAGTTTTTCCACTCTTAGAGTTCAGGGTTGCACATGTCTTGTATTGGGTAAAGCATGCAGGGTAGCCCTACTTGGACCATGACTTGTTGATGCCTCCATGTCCCAGCTTCTTTGGAGCTACTGTCAGAGGGAACATTTTGAGGAGGCGAAGACAGGCAATTAAATTGGGGACAAAACTCTGACTTTTGCATTAAGGAGGTCCTGTCTGTGTAAGGGTTTCTGCACCCTGTGATAGCAACCACCTGAAAGGGTTCTCCAGTCACAGCATACTTTCTTTCAGTGTATGTGCTACTTTGCTTCCTCTGTATGTCTGTGTGTATATGTTTGCAGTGAACAGCATCACCTTGGCAGTGAATCTGATTGGCTGCCTCGCATGGCTGATTGGAGGCGGTGGAGCTGTTAATTTTGGACTGGCAATTCTCTGGCTCATTCTCTTTACACCCTGCTCCTATGTCTGCTGGTTTAGACCTATATACAAAGCCTTCAAGTAAGTGATCACAGCTGATCTTGGCTTCTTGCTGCCTTTCTCCTCACAAATAATCAGTGCTCCGATTGGGTCACCACCTATGTGTTTGGGAATTCCTCCCTTCCCACCCAACCTTTCACTATTATTCCTTAGCTTCCAAATATCAGGATTTAAGATCGCAGGTCTCCATAAAAACCCCTGTATAAAGCATATTCCACCCCCTCCCTGAGAGTGAGTCATGAGAGACCTAGAAGTATACATTAACAGGAGACTTGAGATGCTGTGTTCTGGTGTGTTGCAGCTTGAAATGATTCACAAGTAGTGTGTAATGAGTAGAAACATCCCAGCTCTGTTCCCATCCAACTAAAATGGTTTAGGCTTTTGCTCCAGAACTTGGAATCTTCAATGCTTCTGGTGGTGGTTTTCTTTTGCCCTGAGGCTATTTCTATAAACCTTCTGGGGGTGGCTAGCAGGTGTTTGCATTGATTATAAAGGCAGATCAGAGCAGTTCCTTCATTGCAGTGCTTTGTGGTGGTCTACCTTTTATTCTCCAGCTCAGCAAATACTTCCATATACCCCGTGGGTAGGATGGGGGTAGAAGGTTGGCATGGTAAAGAGGGCACTGGTCTTCCTGGGTTCAGTTCCCTACTCTGCCATAGACTTCCCACATGATTTGGGGGCAGTCAATTACTCTACTCCCAATACCTCAGCTTCCCATCAGCAAAATGGAGGTATCACTTCCTCGCCTCACAGGCATGTTGAGGATGTAATCCATTTCCTGTGAGGTGTTCATGCAATAGGGCCTTCTAAGTAGATGGAGAGTGTTGAAGAGACTCTGCCCTGTGACTAGTTGTAGGCTACTTCACATGTCTAAATGAGAGCTGTGAAATTCTTATTGCTATCTAGGCCCCGTCATCTGACTTTTTTGCCCTGTCTCTCAACTGCTACATACACCTAACTTCAGCACCTCACATCTTCCTTTTTTTCTTCCTTTTGCAAAGAAACACTATCTTGACTATTTTTTGTGGGCAGCTATTTGCACTGGACTGTCAGTTTCCTATTCTGATTCACCGCACTTTAACAAAACAAAACAAAAAATCTCTCATGCAGACAAAGGCATTATTTAGCTGAGCTGGTGGCAAAGACCTTGGAGGTTCAAATGAAGAGCTTCCTCACTTGCCCTTGGAGTGCACCTGGAATAGTGGTGAATGAGAGGTTCAGAGCGGTGAGGAGGATGACTGTCCGCTCTTTCTCTTGTAGGACAGACAGCTCCTTCAGCTACATGGCCTTCTTTTTCACCTTCATGGCCCATCTGGTGATCAGCATTATCCAGGCAATAGGAATCCCTGGCTGGGGAGTCTGGTAAGGAGAGGAGACTCTGTTGTATCAAGCTGTTTTTGTTAAGGGTTTGTTTTTTTTTTTTTTTTCCTGTTCAGGTGCTAAGTTAACTGCAGCTGTTCTGACTCTGATGCCCGATGAAGCAAAACATTAAGGGGGAAGAAAGGGAGGGAAAGAAATCCTTTTAAAGTACAATGGCTCGGGTAATTCAGGGCAGCAGCTGGGTGGAGTTGAGAGTGGAGAAGAATGTAGAGAGATGGTGCAGCACTGTAGTGATCCTGTGGGTGCTTGTTGAGCCACCTGCATATCAAACAAACATTGCTGCTTTTAACTGATTTGTGAGATTTTTTTCACCTAGAGAAAGGGTGGGATTTGTTACTTACAGGAAAGGGGGTTCCAGGTGACCTGAAAGCTTTGAAAAAGGACCGTCAATTCAGAGTAGGTTTGTAGCTCACAAACGACAAAGCCAATGAGGAAGCCCCCGAACCAACTGAATCTGTTGCCTGCATTGCTCAAGTCATTTAACCAAAGCCCTTTTTATGGTCTCCTTGCAGTGGTTGGATTGCTGCGATATCCTTCTTTGGGACCAATGTGGGTGCAGCTGTGGTGATGCTTATCCCCACCATCATGTTTACACTTGTGGCAGTCTTTTCCTTCATCGCACTCAGTATGGTATGATTTCTGGATTAGAGATCAAATGTTGGGGTGGTTTCTGGGTGTGTTTCTGGCCAAGGGATCCAGCTAGGATGTTCACTACTTTGGTGTTCTTCAGCACTTGTCATCCTTTGTTAGGAGCAGTTCTGTGTCTGGTGTCACTTGCATTTAGGGTTGGAAGCGCTGTTTTTGTGAGATGTAGCCTCCACCAAATCTATGGCTATGAGATCTGGAAACCTTGGTACTTGAATTCCCTTTGGTTTGACAAGAGGCAAGCTCTGGGCTTCTAAGACTTAAAACAAACAAACAAAACCCTAGATATGTTTTGATGCTTAACATTTAAGGAAAGAAATGTTAAGCTGACTAAAAACCTGAAATAAAATCCCTTAAGTCTCTCCAAGAATATGGCTAAATTTGGGCTTTCTTATTTTCCTAGTCCTCGTGCCCAGAGGTTCCCAACCCCCAGGGCGCAGCCTGATATTGGGCCGCAAAGGGTTGGCTGCTGGTCTGGAATTGGTGGCATACTGTGGAGCAGCAGCCAACTGTTTTTATACTGTGTGTATTTAAAAAAAAAAAAAAGGGGGGGGGGGGGG